TTCCGAGGCAGTATCACTACGGAAGTAGGATTGCCCAACCTTCCTTCCGAGGAGTGGCTGGTGGGTTTGAACTGCCAGCCTTCTGGTTAACAGTCAAGTGCTTTAACCACTATGCTACCAGAGCTCCTTTATTAAACTTGATAGGTGCCTAAAATACATGTGTTTTCTATTTCATGGTGAAGATCTTCTAATGTATTACTAGATATATACATGTCTTTTCTATTTGATTTGAAAGAACTTTAAACCTGACAAATTGTGCATTCTTCATATTCTTAGGACCACACAATGGTTACAGATATTTAAATGATCTCTAGTTGAGTTTTGGACATCCATTTTAATCAAGTCTGATTTGCTGTTGCAATATGAGTTTATAAGGAAAAAGCAGGAAGTCGATAGAGTTCTCATCTGATACCTAGTTTTTCTTTGTGAATTAGGATGTAAAGTTGCTGTTAGGATGTTGTGGTACAAGGGGGTGGAGTTGGTGGTGAGAAAAAAGCTTTAAATTAATCTTATTTAGTAATAAAAGGAAGGCTTGATAATGTAGTCATTAAGTGCTCTACTGCTAACTGAAAGTTTGGCTGTTTGAACCTGTCAGCAGCTCCGCAGGAGGAATATGTGGCAGTCTGCTTCCATAAAGGCTACAGCCTTGGAAACCCAATGAAGCAGTTCTACGCTGTCCTGTTGAGTTACTATGAGTCAGAATGAACTTGACGGCCATGGGTTTGCTTTTTTTTTGTTTTAGTGACAGGAGATCTGAGTAGAGTCATGATGCCTACTTTATGATCTCATAAATGTGTGACATTAAAACCATTTAAAGTAGAGACCATATTTATGAAGAAGTATATTTATAGTACATGTTTAACATTTAGTTTATATGGGTTTTTTGTTAAATTTGTGTGTTTTCAGTCATTTGAGCATTTGTCATTAGTGACAGGTATTCTTTGTAACTGATCAAGAAGTCACATCTCAATGTCAAAGGAACTTTATTAATAAGGCAATTGAAGTAGTCATTTATTACATTGCAAAAAGTTCTAGACTCATTTAACATTTATTTCCGTTTGCTAGTCAATTACCAGCTGTCAGAGCATATTAAGCACTGTAAATTTGAGTCAGAAGCTGTCACCCTTAAGTGTATTAACTCTCCCTAATCACATAGGTAGTGATTTGTCCCATGAAAGAATGATATTAATCACTGGGCTACATCTGTCTTCATGATGGTATAAAATTGCTGTTGGCTGCCATTGCTAAAGTGAAGTAAATCAATGTAGACACCAAAAATGAAAGCAGACAGTCATGAGCATATCCATTTATGTTAACAACCTTCTTATTATTTGAAGCAGAAAAAAAATGTCAACCAATTTCCAAACCTTTTTGCTTCTTAGTCAAAAAATATCTCTTCTTTTTATTATTACTAGCTAACGTTTACAGAGTATTTATTATGTGCCAGACACTGTGCTTATAGCTCCATATGACTTTTTCTTTAAGCTTCACAACCCTGTGAGATTTAATCCAACCATAGCTTGTGTTTTGTTATGAGTAAATGAAGGCTTAAAAGAGCTTGAGTAACTTGTAACTCTAAATGGCAGAGTCTGGAGTTCAATACAAGCAGTTTAATTCCAAAACCTTTTCCCTTAACCACTACTCTCCATTAATGGATAGTGTTTGATGTTTAACTTGGTCAATCAGGAGTGAATTTGGCTGCAAGTAACCAAAATCCACTATATAGTAACTTAACAAAATGGTACTTTATTTTTTCTCACTTAGCAAAAAAAAAAAAAAAAAAGGAATAGACAGATATTCACATTGGTTTAGTAGCTCACCAATTCCAGACCAATGATTCCTTGACTTTCCCTCAGGGCAGAAAAACGGCTGTTTAGCTTCAAACATCATGTCCATATGCAAGCCAGGAAGAAGGAAGGGTTTTTACAGTTACAACAGTTGGTACCAGCCTTAAGTATATCTTTTATCATGAAAGGATATACCAGCCTTAAGTATATCTTTTATCATGAAAGGCAAAGCTTTTCCATTTATAGCTCATTGGTCAAAATTGTTTCACATGGCCATTGTTATCTGCAACGGTGGAAGATAGTAAGGAAGAAGGGAGTTGGAGATGACTCATGGACCAGACTTAGGTAGAACATTATAGAATCCACAACCTCTGTAGGAATCTTGCCCTTTCTCCGTAACTTAATGTCTCTCTCTCTCTCTCTCTCTTTTTTTTTGGCATGAAAGAGCTATATAATTCTCCCTATAGACCAAACTAAACTCATTGGGTTTCCAAAGCTATAAATCTTTACAGAAGATTGCCTCATCTTTCTTCCATAGAGAGTCTGGTGGGATCAAACCACCACTAACCAAAAGGCTGATGGTTTGAACTCACCAGCCACTCTATGGAAGAAAGATGAGGCAATACGTTTCCATGAAGATTCTCCCTATAGCTAACTATAATTCTCCCGATAGCTAACTCCTCATGTTTTCTTGCCTTGTTTTCTAGAGTGGGTTCCCATATAATAAAGGAAAGTGGTAGTTCCACTCAACCTTACAGGTCTCATTGATTGCAAATAACAGAAACTGATAGCATATGTAACTAAGAAAATAAGGGAATTTCAGTCATTTATTAAAAAAAATCTTTATTGATAACTCATTATATGCCAGGTGCACTACTAAGCTCTGAGGATACATCAGGTGAGAAAGCATGAAAAAGAATAGATAGGAGAATGTGTAGGAATCTCACGGAACCCAAAAATAGGAATGCATGGGGGGTTGAGAAGCTCTCAGGAATGCAAACAGCTCCCCTGAGTGTATCTGCTTCTTGCTCACTCTGCTTTCTCTAATCCTTAGCCTGTGTGGTAGGTAGAATATGGTCATTCTGCATTACCCAAGTTTTCATCTTCTATTTAAGCATCCAGCCCAAGCTGAACCTCCAAAACCAAACTCAAAACAAAACTCACTGCCATCAAGTCAATTCTGATTCGTAGAGATCCCCTTTGGGTTTCCAAGGTGGTAAATCTTTGCAGAAGTATATTGCCCTATCTTCCTTCTACGGAGCAGCTGGTGGGTTAACCTTCTGGTTAGCAGTCAAATGCCTTAGGTACTACATCACCAGAGCTCCTCCTAGGCAAAAGAATTTTGATCAACTGAGTCCAAGAACAATCTCATCCTTGTGAGTGATAGATGTAGTTACAGTGGAGGGGTTACCTCAAAAGGTGTCTACCTCCCTGTTGTTACTAACTATCTCTAGGTTGATGAATACTTTTCTAAAAACCTTGCCTATTGACCATGCCAGACCTGCTTTCTGCTACCTGAGAGGTACCTTGAAGAGCACCTTTGTTTGGCTCTCTAAGAATAGACCAGGTCAAGGTTCTTTTGAACTTACTCAAACATTCTTGTGCCCCAATAGGAGCCCTGGTAGTGCCATGGTGAGCACTCAGCTGCTAACCCAAAGGTAGGTGGTTGGAACCCACCAGCAGTTCTATGGGAGAAAAAACCTGGTGATCTGTTCCACAAAGATTACAACTTAGGAAACCCTCTGGGGCAGTTCTCCTCTGTCCTGTGAGGTTGCTATGAACTGAAATTGACTCATTAGCACACCACAGTTACAACAGAAACAATAGAGCTTTTTCTCTACACAGCCCCTAGTCCTTGTCTTTAGTGCCTGACTCCCAGAGAATTGGGGTTCCTTTCCTCACTTCAAACCAAGCCACTACTAAGCAGGTTGGTTCCAAAGTACACACTGCGCTGTGGGTTAGAACATTCCTTTATGGCTGTTATAACCTATGAAGCCAGTGAGATACAGTTGTTAGAAATTTTTTTTTAGCCTTCTCTTTGTTTCAAGCCAGTGAATGTTTTTCCATTCAGGGATGAACTGAATTGCTGACTTTGTGGCTAATCTGTTTTTCTACAGGCCGTGGATTCCCCTCTGCATGGAGGGGGATGGGCAGGATGGGGCTCCTGGGGCAAATCTCTGCTCTCATCAGCGTCTGCCACAGTAGGTAAGCATTGTTACATTTAAATGGATGAAGTTCAAGTTCCGAATAGAATGTGACATTTTTGATCACACCATGTACTGATAGAGTTTAACATTACCCCATGAGAAGAAGGGCATAGCATGTGTCAGGCAGTGTTCTAATATTAGTACATTTATTCCTCAAAATAACTCTATAAGGGAGTGCTTTGGTTATCTAGTGCTCTTATAACAGAAATACCACAAGGGTATGGTTTTAACAAACAGTGATTTATTCTCTTCCAGTTTAAGATGTTAGAAGTCCAAGTTTAAAGTGCCAGCTCTAGGGACTGGGTGAAGGCCCCTTGATCTTGGGCTTCAGCTGTGCCTCTTGCTCCCAGCCCACTGAAGCTGGAGGTGTCTCTTCACTCAGGCAGCTGCTGGCTGCTGAGGCTGATAAACCCAAGGTCGACAAGGAAAATAGCACAATCTCAAGATTAGCAAGCAATACAGCAGGCCATTAGTCCAAGTACAGAACTAGTCCCAAGATCAGCAGGCAACATGGCAGGCTGCTGAATGAAGATCTGGCTAAATGTAGGATCCAAGCATGCCAAAAAGCTAGAGACTTTTATGAAAGCAGGAGCTCTAGTGGCATTGTGCCTAAGGCATTTGACTGCTACCCAGAAAGCTGGTGGTTCAAACCCACCAGCCACTTCTCAGAAGGAAGACCAGGCAATCTACTTCCATAGAGATACTGCCTTGGAAACCCAAGAAGGGGTTTGCTATGAATTGGAACCGACTCCACAGCAGTGAGTTTGGTTTTTGCTTTTTATTAAAGCTGCTTTTTATATACTGGAAGCAGACCACATCCCACCGTGGAGTTGATTACCAGCCTCCTCATGAGGAATAATTACATACAGCTGCCTAACCACTCAAAACCAGGCCCTGCCAAGTTGACACACAGCCTTAACTACCACAGGGAGGTACTTTTACAGTCTCCATTTTATAGATAAGGAAGCTGAGTCACAGAGAGTTAAGATCTTGCCCAAAGTCAGCAGCGGCTGGTCTGGGATTTAAAGCAAGTAGTTTGTCTTTGAAGACCCTGGTCAGTGCAAATGGTTAACACACTCAGATGTTAACTGAAAGGTTGGAGATTTCATCCTACCCAGAGATACATAAGAAGAAAGGAATAGCCCTTTACTTCCAAAACATCAGTCATTGAAAACCCAAGGGAGCACGATTGCGAATCATGGCAACCCCGTTGGATTTCCAAGGCTGTAAATCCTTGCGGAAGCAGACTGCCTCATCTTTCTCCTGAGGATCATCTGGTGGGTCCAAACCTGACCTTTTGGTTAGCAGCCTAATGCCTTAACCATTGCACCAGCAGATCTCCTTTAGATCCCATTACTACTGAAATTACCTTATCTGTTTTCTTGTTTATTTCCTGTCTTCTTCCATAGAATGTAAACTCTATGAGAGTAATATCTTGTTTGATTGTTCACACCTGTGTCCTCCGTGACTAAACACTGCCTGACACATCAGAGGTGCTTAATAAAATTTTGTTGAATGAATGAGTGAATAAATTTAGTTCCCATTATTAGTTCACAGTTTGTTGTAATTTATTTTTTAAAATTATTTTTATGTTTTGTAAAATAATATTTGCACATAGTACAAAACTTGAGGTACAAACCATTATGCAATGAATGAAAAATAAAGCTCTTCCTCTAGTTCTCCAGTTAACCACCAGGTACTCTCCTTAGAGGCAGCTACTGTTTCTACACTGATACCAGCATAAACGGTAGCCAACATGCATACTCTTCTGTATTTTGAATTTTTCACGTAATCCTGTTTCTTCGGGATGGTTCCGCATCTATGTGTTTAATAGTGCCTAATCATAGTGGCTAAGGCACTTGACTGCTAACCAGAAGGCTGGCGGTTCAAACCCACCAGCCACTCCTCGGAAGGAAGGTTGGGCAATCCTACTTCCGTAGTGATACTGCCTCGGAAACCCAAGGAGGGGTCGCTATGAGTCAGGGCTGACTCGACGGCACATAACAACAACAACAACAACAATCTTGTACCATACTCTATGATGGCTGTGGCTCACGTTTAGTGGTTCTCATTGGATAGTTAATCTTTTACTACGTAAGCAGCCTGCAGTGAGTGGTCTCATACCCATCATGTCATATATGTGGGAGTATGTCTGTTGGTTAAATTCTTATATGTGAATCAAAAGCCACACGCATTTCAAATTTTGCTATTTCTAAATTTTCCCCATGGAAATTATACCAGTTTACATTTCTTTTTTGAACATCTTATTTTGCTTTAGGTGAAAGTTTACATAACAAGTTAGTTTTCCAATCAATCATTCATATACTGATTGTTCCATGATATTGCTTGCAATCCCCTCAATGTGTCAGCATGCTCCCCATTTCCTCCTGGGTTCCCTATTTCCATTTATCTGGTTTCCCTGTCCCTCTTTGCCTTCTCATGTTTGGTTTTGGGCAACAGTTGCCCTTATGGTCTCGTGTAGATAATTGTTCTAAGGACCACATTGTTCATGGGAATTGTTTATTTTATAGCCCTTCTCTTACTTGGCTGAGAGATGGCCACTGGGAGTGTCTTGAGTTTCAAATTAGAAGGTTATTTTAGGGTAGTAGTCTTAGGGGTTCCTCTAATCTCTTTCTGACCAGTAAGTCTGCTCTTTTTTTTTTTTAATCTTCTACATTTTTACCCATTTTAATCAGGACCTTCTATTATGGGTCTTAGTCAGCCTGGACAGCAGTGGTAGCCAGACACCATCTAGTTCTTCTAGTCTCAGATTAGAGGAAGCACCAGTTTACATTTCTTACTCGCAAAGAATGTGATTCTTGGTTTCCTAAACAATCACATTATACCATATTATCAAACATTTTGATGTCTGCCAAACAGATAAAACAAAAGTGGCTTATTTTAGGAAATTAATTTTTATTTTCTCCCATTCGTTTAACAATAATTTTTACTTTTTTCTGTGACTTAACTGTCCTAATTAGTCTCAGTATTTCTATAGGTTGTTGTCCTTATTGGTTGTAAGTTCTGTATGTTGTTGTTAGTTCCATGGAGTCAGGTCCAACTCATGGCAACCGTATGTATAACAAATTGAAGAGCTGCCCAGTCCTCTGACATCTGAGTCTAGTAGGATAATACTCTGTTCTGATCCATAGGGTTTTCATGGGCTAATTTTCAGAGATTGATCTCCAGGCCTTTCTTCCTGGTCTATCTTAGTCTGGAAGTTCTGCTGAAGCCTGTTCACCCTGGATTACCTTGCTGGTATTTGAAATACCAGGGGCATAGCATCCAGCATCATAGCAACATGCAAGCCACCACAGCAAGACAAACAGACAGACAGGTGGTGGAAGTTCTTTACAGATTAAGGAAATTAGCTCTTTGTCTTATGAATTCCAATGAATTTTTGATTTGTTGTATTTTTTCCACACAGAATTTAAAATTTTGTGTCATCACATTTATCAGTATTTTTCTTTGATGCCTTCTGAGTTTTTGTATTATGTTTTTAACAATATTTTCCACTCCAAGATTATGAAAAGATTCTTCCATGTTTTCTTTACTACTTTGACATTTTAATATTTAAACCATCAAAACTTATTTTGGTGTATGGACTGATTGCAGAGATTTTGCAGGTTTTTTTCAATACTGGTGCCACATTCTTCTTCATCTAGTCTAGGCTTTCCCACTTCCGTTCACATTCAGTTGGTATGCAACCATATATCCTGGGTCTTCAGGAACAGTCCTGATGTCTTATTATTTTGTTACTCTAATAAAAATGATGTGTTTGCTGTATAAAACAAACAAACAAACTCACTGCCGTCAAGTTGGATCCAACTCATAACGACCCCTCCTTGGGTTTCTGAGATGGTATCACGACAGAAATAGATTGCCCAACCTTCCAAGGAGTGGCTGGTGGATTTGAACTGCCAGCCTTCTGGTTAGCAGTCAAGTGCCTTAGGCACCACGCCACCAGAGCAAGCAAAATTTGACCAGGAGTGCTGAAACTCTGAACGGGTATTGCTGCTTGACCTTGAACTCTTGTTGTTATGTGCTGTTGAGTTGGATCTGACTCTTAGCGACCCCTCCTTGGGTTTCCAAGGCAGTATAACTACGGAGGTAGATTATCCAGCCTTCCTTCCAAGGAGTGGTGAGCAGTCACATGCCTTAGGTACTATACCACCAGGGCTCCTGGTTCTCTGTATATGTAATCATTATTTAGTTTTATGTTGTGTGATGGCTTTGTATATCAATAATATTAGTAACAAGACACAGTGTTTATAATCTTTCAGATAGTAGTCAAGTGCTTTAAATACTACGTCACCAGGCCTCTTTCCAGTACCACAGTGCCCATCCCAATTTTCCATACTACTACCAGTCCTTACTATTTAAGCTACAAAGTAAGCAGTCAGCGTTTTTAAGGAGTCATCACCAAAATAAAATTTCCTTCTCCTTAAGAGAGTCCTCCTGCTTGTAACTGCCCTCCCCTGGTTGGTGTGTTTGCTGTTGTGTCTCGTCACTGAGTAGCTACACGTTATCATTTGACTTTGGGCCTTGTTGGGCACTTACAAGATTTTCCATCTACTGACTGACAGCTTGCCCCGCAAACTTACTATCCACGTCTTCTCAGGTGCCTTGTAATCTGACGTCTGCTCATGAGCAGCCCAGCACAGTTCTGGTTCCATCGGACTGGCTGTGCTCCAGGGCCTCTGGGTTTTGTTCCCTGGTTCAGATATAACTGGTGGATGATGCTGACTTTGCTGCTTAAAAAGCGGATGTGATTGCAGGGGCAAGTCCCACCTTATACTGGTAGGCATTCACCTTTTGGCTTGATCTCAACTCACTGTCCTAATGTGTAGCCCATGCTTGTGTTTGGTTGCTGTTGAACTTTCTGTATGTCTGAGGCACCGTAAAGATTATAAATATTTGTGTCTTGTTACTATCGCAACCATTTTAAAATGTTGATGGTTCTCAACATCCAGCATCATAGCAACATGCAAGTCATTC